ACAGGTATTTCGGCCGTTGCATCCTCGCCAACATCAGAGCCCCCAAGTGAAATAGACCCTGATTCTTTTGAAGCCAAGAAACAAACGTTGCGTAACAAGGTCATTGCTATCGGTAGAGTTTCTAGAATGTACCAAGTTTTGAGACAAGAGTCGGAAAGCGTGGCTCATCTTAAACAATTGAATAGCGGTATCTTACCGAAGGGTTCATTATTACACGGTAGTGAAGGTTTAAAAAGAACGTTGTCTTCTTTCGAAGAGGCTAAAAGAGCTGATTTGGTGAATGAAGCATTACCACCATCAAAAGAGGAGATTAATAGGCGGGAACAAGAAAAGAATGAAAAGATTAAAAAGGAAATCGAAAATTCTCAAAATAGTGGTCCAGTTTTCCAAAGGTTGATCAGAAAGTTATCCCAAGGTTAATGAAACGGTTTATTTCTCGAACAATGTAGGCTTATATATAATAGTATATCAAGATAGTTTAAATGAATGGAGTTTTTTTTTATTGAGATTCGCACGTTCTTGTAAATGAAAAACTACAATTCCTTAATAGTATTCTGATAAGCACCCACAATAGTAACACTGCATCACTAAGTCAACTATAGGTAGTTATAATTGCGTTTGAATACAATAAAGTCTGAGATGAAACCTAATCCTAAATTGATATTTGAACAACCGAATATTGAAAATACAATACCACTCTCTGTCTATCAAGCATCATCGCCTGAAAAGTTCTCCATTGAGGACGACGATAAGCTTGTGATGCATGCTGGAGGTTCGGGCTATGAGGTATCGGTTTTGAGGAACGATCCAACCCAAGTAGTTAAGGTGCATGAAGATCTTGAAAGCATGGAGAATTCAAGCATCTCACTTTTCGTCTTGAATACATGCCTCATAATATGGCTCGATGAAATACAGAAAGGATTGGAATTACCCTACCAGAGTATATCATTAAGTGCATTACAGAGTAATAATGACCACCAGGCTTTATATCTACAAGTTTTATCTAATGACTACATTTCCAGTATACCGACAGAACCAACAGAATATACTTCGACGGTGGAGTTAATAATAACCAAGAAGAAAGATATCCCCGAGAATATGCTAAATCGCTTATTCGAAAGCATGGTTTCGGACATTCACGGATTATACAATGGTTTATCAACGTGTTCAGCATTCCATTATGACTCGGATTCTGATGAGGAGAATGGTGCCAACTCAAACGGATTTTATGGCCTGGGTTTTCAGGACTCCGATACCAATGTACCAGCTTTGGAAATACCGTCGTCGTGGATCGATGATGAAGGACATGACCACGATATTACTATCAAAAATATTGGTGATGCCGATGACTTGGAGTTAGATGAAGAAGAGTTACAGCGAGCTAGAGATGAAAGTGGTACTCCTGTAGCCGGTATGAATGTCGATGTAGGATATGCTTCAATTGTCGGTAGTATCAGAAAGCGAGGTGAGGATGATATGGGCGAATTCAATAAATCAAGAAAATTGATTTGATAACGAACATGAATATTTAGTTTAAAATTATTCGATGCATACAAATACATTTACTAAAGCAACTATTCCTACTCTGACTGGTTCTTATATAGCAGTTATTACATATTAATATGGCTTTGTAAATAGATCAAAAGAATCACCATTAAGGAAATCATATTATAGTCACGAGCGCATACTCAACATTTAGAACAACAATTTTTACGGATAGATATAAAGAGTAAGATCATAGATACATTCAAGAGACTGATATTGCTGAGTTGTTGGAGATCTTAATGTTGTAACTATGAAAACGGCAGAAGAGAGACTTAGGTTTAAAAATCATTTTTTTAAATTAGGACAAGGAAGGTTAATACCCAGCTCTGATACTACCTATTGGGATGCATTCTGGAAGGAACCAGAGACCACGAGTGATATTTATGAACTACTCACACCGTATGACATAAGGACTATTCGGGAGCAAAACAGAGCTAATTTTGTCTTGATGATAAGGGTGTTGATATTAAAGCTTACTTATTTAGCCCAGCATGAAAATTTCCCTAGTAAGGATGCTCCCGTATCCGAATTATTAAATTGCATCCGTTTTTTAACGAAACTACTTCCATTTTTATTTGAACTACCCGAGTATCCTAGTGAATTGGATGATATTTTGTTTTGGTCTGAAACGTTCGACCCGATGGCAGTGGCCACTGGGTCATCTTTGAATAATATTCAGACACCAGTAAGTGTGCTAGGAGGTGAAAAAGAGAATGAAAAGAATGTAAATAAAGAAAGTATTCTCGGTGTTAATATAGTGAAATGCCTCGTGGACTTGTTGTTTATCAGATCGTTTACAATGGATGTACCCACTGGTAGCGAGGGCAGAAGTGGTAGTAATAGAATGATGAGTGTATGGGAGCCAGGGATTGGAACAACAGCAAAATATCAAACTCCTAATCTCATAATTGATAGTAATAGAATGGAGGTGTTGAAACTTATGCTTGTTTTGATGACAACCTCCGTTTATCAGGTTCCATCTCAAGTTGTATCGAATGGGTCGAAGTTTCTAACATTATTGGTAGCCACTACACCGCGTGTGGAGTTATTGATTTTTGTATGCTCATTGATGAACTTATTGTGCAGATCTGCTAGAAGTCCTGTTGAGGAGAATATGTTATTCTACAGTAATATCGAGCTCACTGAAATGAGACATCTATGTGTTACTTATGCCACCCAACTATTGACACTAATGATTGTCTACCCATTACCTTCGCAACCGAACTTACAATTCTTGTATGATCTAAACTTACTTACAACGGCTAAGCCATATAATATGGCACGGGTCTATATTGGTAAGTTACGTAAAGAGAATGAATTATTATTTTTGGCATCATATTTGATCAATGTTTTAAGAGCACCTATGCAAAGTTCTAAAGAATCTGAAAGTTTGAAATTTAATTTGAATACAGGTCGACAAAACCAAGTATCAATATGGGCTACTGAGTGTACAATGCTATTGTGGGAATTGTTTCAGTGTAATAAATCGTTCAGAACTTTAGTTGGAGAAAGATACTTGCATGAATTAATAGTGATAATGTTGTACTACGTATGCACTTATCATAGGAATGTCAATCATAAAAATTCAGTTCGAATATTCTCTTATTTCATTTTATACTTATCCTCAGACTGCTTAATAATGGATAAATTATTCGAACCAATGGATCTTACATTTTATGAGTCATTGCCTACTAGTTATAAGATAAGTCCAGGACCAGTGACTTATAGAGATTTCATTGTTACTCAATTATGCAAGTTATTAATTACTTTATCATCAGGGACCAATAGCACAAATAGTGCAAAGCCAAGTTTGTTATTGACAACTTTAGTAGAGATTTTATATAATTTGATTCCTGTGGTTTCTAGTAAAGAAATAGAAGTGAAGGATGACCCAGAGAAAAAATTAGGTAATTCTAACCCAAGAGGTGGTCTTTCGTACGCTGCATGTTCGTCTATCACCCAATTGATATTAAAATTCTCCACTCGTCCATTTTTATTGGATGCTTCGTTTAATGCTGATTTACTTGCATTAATATTCCGATCTGTTTGCACTGCCATAATTAAGTATCCAAAACCATCAAGAATGCTCTTATTTTCGATGCTAAAGAATGAAAAAGTGTATGATCAAGTCTGGAGCACAATTTACAGTTTCAGTACAGAATACTTCAGTGGGGACACTCTCATATTGAATTCAATAGATGATAATGAAGATGAAAATATCAGTCCATTGCAACAAATTGATTCCAATATATCTGATCAGGTATCGAATAATTCTTCTATAGACTCAGAGACAAATGAATCTATTTTCATAAATAATTTTACAAGTCCAAAATCGAGACATGGTTCAAATGTAAGTGGGTCTATACAGCCACTGACTCCTGAATTTGATTTAAATTTCTTTGAAGACGAATCACAAGCAATAGATTCTGCATTGAGGCCCAAGCCACCAACCGGTATGTCTCAGAAGGCTAGAGATAAATTACCGAAAGATTCACCTTTGAAAAGATCGTGGGGCGGAAATGATTCTTTAAGAATTATATTAACTATAATTATCCCTCATTTGAAGCTCGTTTTGAGGGAGATATGGTCTAGTAGAGAAGGGCCAAGCATCGATAGCTTTTTGCTAGTTAAATATATCGAATCTACAGACTTCGATAAATTGGTTCGGGAGAATAAAGGACAATTGAATTATGATTTTTTACCTACAACTCCACTCGAACCCTTGAAATTTAATTGGAGCCACCTATCTTTAGGATGGTATATGTCCCTTTTATTTGGTAATGTATATAATGCTGGAGATAACGTCAAGGCATTTACAGGAAATAAGAATAAGATTATGAAGAATTTCTCATCAACTTTGGTTTCGTTTAGTAAGCTTACCTCAGGCTGGGCTGGTTTGAACAAGCAATTACCAGGTACAGGGACGATATCAAACGAATCTGATGTGGTTTCCACTTGGGTTGAAAGTGCTCTTACCAACATTAACCCCTGGGCATACACCTCTATCAAATTATTTAAGATCGAACCTGCCGTTAATGAAGGATTTTTTGGTTCAGCTAATGCAAAAGTAGCCAATAACTTTATGGCTGTCCCAAGTACACCTAATGGAGTAAATGATATGGCCAGTACGTTAGTAAGAAAATTTAGTGATTTCCGTATCCGAAACAACAGTTCATCTAGTATATCTTCAATGCAGTCAGCGAACTCAATCTTAAACACTCCAATAGATGAGCAAGAAGCATGCTTTGGTAAGTACATCCCGAGAAACTCTGTAAGTTCATTACATTCTTTAAACACATTAAACAGATCAAGAACAAATACTCCTAGGAACTCAGTCTGCATGTGAAAGCTATACTCTTTTCGATTATTTAATTCGTTTGTATATTTAGATTTAATTTACATTTTACTTTATATAGGTAATTATAGACTTGAGAAAGCATAAATTACAATTTCGTTTATCGTCTTCCTCCTTTACGCCCTTTCTTTTGTACTAACTCAAACCCATCATCATCAACTATTGGTGCCGGTGGTTCATCTACATCCATAGAGTCACCATTTTCTACCAAGGCTGGTGTCTCGTCTTCATCATCATCTTCACTATCGGAAACATCTGGATTATTAGGATCTTCGTTAATAACAATTTTTTCTTGTTGACCCTGGCTTGACTGTTTCTTTTGTTGCCATCTTGAGTAAAGCTCGTCTACAACATCGTATTTCTTGAGGTAAACGTCTCTATAGATCTTCACAATCATGTCTGCAATAACAAGTGCAGATTCATTGTCAACTTCGGTGTCAAATTCATCAACCATAGCATATAATAAAGTTTCTTCAATCAATTGAACATCGATTATTCTTTCATTGAATAAATCTATCACTATACCTGAAATCCAGTCTCTCTTATCAGCAGAATTTGGGCCACCCCAAGAATTTGTAACTGCAGTGTTGAGCTCATCCCATTTATAAATGCACATACAAACACCAAGTTCAAACTTTGCTTGCTGTTTTTCATCCTCAAATCTTAAGGAGTTCACTCCTTCTTCAGCTTCAATGAAGTCAGTAGGATCTATCAGGGTCATTTTACAAAGAAATCAACTTTAAACTAGAGATAACTGAAAATTTCACTAAATTTTTTTTTGTATTCGATGTCGCAGATAAGATGCAGCGATATTTAATTTTTTCGGTATCTATTAATTACAAATACTGTTCAAAGTATACTACTTATTTCCTTGTCCCGCTTCAATACAGATACAATTTCTTCTTCAGAAATATTCAAATTAATGAGACTATGTCTTTCGCCTCTGACATTTTGTTGTAAAATACCATTCTCAACTAACTCGTTAACAATGTATTTGAACCTAAGGATTCTAATGTTAGTATCTTTCAGATTAAAGGTTGAATCAAGGTTTTGGAGAAGACCATTCCCATATAGTAAATCTATTAGAGTCATTTTAGAATCTATTGCCTCTAATACCTTATCACCGTCCCTCGAAGTAAGCATTGTTAACGAATTTTTCATCTCGTCTATTATATCACCCAAAGAATTCTCTGCTAAGCCAGAACGTTTCATTCTAAGTAATACACCAGCAAGAACTAACTTGGATGCAAATGGTAAACTCATTAAGAATTGAGAGATCGGGCTGTTGACCGTTTCATTGATGGCTTTAGAAATATGCGATATTTGTACATGATACGATTCATTTTCGATCTCCTGTTCATTTCCAGCATCTTCCTTAGATAAAAATTCCTTCTCAGCAATCTCAACAGCTCTGCGGCAAATAGTTAAAGCCCTTCTGGCATCTCCACTCACACTAGCCACCTTTCTGGATGCGAAACCAATGGCATCGCTGTTGATAATAACCTTTCTCTTATTTTGCTTCGTGAGCATATCTAATCTATGCTTTATAATTGAACCTAACTGCTCAAAAGTATATCCAATAAACTGAATTCTTCTCAACCCCAACCTCGAAGAGATTTTATTCGATAGCACACGTTCAGGCAAATCCATGGTGTTTGCAACTGCAATAACAATCAACTTCGAATTAGAATAGGTAGGCCAATTGAAAAAATTATACATGACGTTTTGCTTTTTAGTTACAATTTGATCCAATTCATCCATAAGTACAATCAAAGGTTTACGTGGTGTATCTTGACTAAAATAGCTCTCTAAAAGCAAGGCAGCATTAGATGCCGTAACCTTTAAACCACTGATCTTTTCCCATAATTTTTCATAAGCTACGTTTGGCGAAAGCAATTTCAACCCATTTATTTCAAGGTAATCAAAATCATTCAACTCGTTCATCTCGGTCAATTCTCTTAATTGTGCAATGACTTCTCGTACTGTTGCCGTCTTTCCTACTCCTGGAGTACCACTTACATATAAACAACAACCGGTTTGTTCCTGTATAGCAGTTTCTAGGTTTAGATAAATAGATGTAAATTCATCCTCACGACACGGTAAAGAAGAGAGTCTGGTAGATGTATGCAATTTTTCTTTCAACTCTTTGAAAGCTTCCGATGATGCATCTACTCCTAAACTCCCATTTTTGCTATTCTGGTCTTTAGATACACCCTTCTTCGGCTTTCTTGGAGATAACGCTAATATGGATGGTTTGGACGAATCTTTGATTTTCATTCTTTTATTTAGTGGACTCACGACAGACGTAATGAATTGTCTCGACTCGTCATCAAATTTAGAATGATTATTCGGTATCTTTACACGTTGTTGTTTCTCCTTTACCCCCTTTGGTTTCAGAGTTGCTTTCCTTTTCCTCGGACTTTTGTTCTTGGATTCATTAGTATCTTCGTCTGACTCAAGCTCATCGCTTGAAGGTTCATCTTGCAAATCCATGGCCGATTCGAATTCATCAGAGCTATCATTATTTTCTTCTTCATCAAGTATTTGCCTAGATACAGTTTTTTGTTTAGGTTTCTTCGTTTCAACTTCATCTAGTTTTTCCTTTATTGACTTTGACTTAACATGCGTCTTATTTGCGTTATAGGCGACGGGTACTGTTTTACGTCTGATAAATTCGATAAATTCATGGTGGTTCTTTTCGAACAACACACATAGATCCCTAAAGTCAAATACATCAGTGAACAATTCGCCAGCTGAATCGCATCCTCTTCGACATACAAAAGTACTTGCCTTATTGGAATCGTCAATTACAATATCATTGTTGAATTCCTCCTCTGATAGTATATTAACTTTGTCTATTATTTCACCCAATTTAACCTCATCCAAATAGGAAGTTATAAAAAGCTCATTCTCATTAAGTTGAGACCTTTCTTTGTATTCTTCAACTTTTGGTAAATCGGCATCCTCAATATCTCTCATTCGTATGAACCACGAAACAATAATGTCAAGAAAATTATCATTACCAAATTTAATCTCTTTGACAATTGCGACCTCGGGAGAATTCTTATCTTGTTGAACTAGCAAGAAATCACCTTCTCTAATTTCCAATTCGTCTTCTTCTCTTTTCAACGATATCTTTTGACTACTAGTAGATTTACCTCTTCGACTTCTTCGAGACGGTGTTGTGGGCTCTCCGCTTACATTATCGGTATTATTTAACTCAGAATCATCCAAGAAATATTGCCATCCCTTTAGATCTCTTTGACTCTTTGCCATTGTCGTATATTAAAGACCAATTCTACCGTAGATCAGAGATAGTAACTGGAATCTTTCGTGAAATGGGTTTATATCGCGTCCTGTATATAGTATCCGTCAAGTTATCTACAAGCTAACTAGAATCTATCGTTAAAATCATACATTAATAGCAAATGCAATAGGTTGAGAGAATAATAAGACGTCTATTTATATAGGAGGATGGGCTCGCCAACGTTGACTATCTCGTCCAAGTTCAATCGCAAGTCAAACGCTTTGGATAAGATGATTTTGAATATCTTCTGAACATTTATCGAGTGGCTCGTGGAACAAAATATTACGGGGGCCTTCATGGCGTGGCCGAACTTTTTGGCCTGCTGGGTAATCTCCATTTGGTCCTGGTATGGTAAATCTATAAATTGGTCGTATTTGGTCCCTACCAAGAACGGAATCGCCGTCTTATTGAACCCCCTCACCTGTCTGTACCACTCCTTTATCGAATTCAACGTCGACTTACGAGTAAGGTCAAACATAAATAGTATCGCCACAGCGTCGTTCGACACCAACGGAAGCATATTGATAAACTCCTTCTGTCCCCCCAAATCCCATATCGAGAACGTTATCACAGTATTGCGGATCTGTATCTTTTTGTCCATAAAATTCACCCCAAGAGTCTGAATGTAGTCTTCATCAAACGATCCCTCAACATATTTCACCATCAATGACGTCTTGCCGATCTGCGAGTCTCCTATGAGCCCTATCTTGAGAGCCACCCTATTCGTGTTAGTATTTGTCTCTTGCGCCCTGTATACACCTACGACGCCTGAAATCTCTCCAAAACCTTCACATACTGATTATTATGGTCTTCTTGTTGTTCTTCCATTCTATATGATCCTAATATGTCCTTATTCGATGCACAATTCCGTATTCTAGCTTGAATGTCTACCAAAACTCGTCTTCTGATTCGCTTTGTTTGCATTTCATTCCATTTTTCCCAAAACTCACGTGTCGACATCTTTTCCTAATCGGGGATTTTAGTCTGACCCGATCATTAATGGCAGCGTCCTGCAGGTTCCACCCTGACTGGTCTCACTGGAGGGGGGGACCCTCCTCCACTGGGGAGACTGAATTGTTCGGAAATACAAAATGTCGCGGTCGGGAGCCCTCATCATCTCGTGGCTTGTGAAAAACAGTCACGGCGATACTATCCGTCAAAAGCTAATCTGTAAACGCCACCGGCCGGTTGCGCGCCTAATTCGAGCAACAGATCCGCACACCCATATAAACCACCCAACCTGTAAACCCGCTCAGTGTTCGTCGGTGAAAAAAAAATTCCTTAGTTAGTCCCCGTGAGACTGGATAAAAATATTGTGAAAAAAAACTTCAAAGTAAGATTAATTAATTCTTATAATTAGTATTATACCTAAACTACAAGTATGGCTGTTGGTAAGAATAAGAGATTGTCCAAGGGTAAGAAGGGATTGAAGAAGAAGGTCGTCGACCCTTTCACCAAGAAGGAATGGTTTGACATCAAGGCCCCATCCACCTTTGAAAACAGAGCCGTTGGTAAGACCTTAATTAACAGATCCACTGGTTTAAAGAATGCTGCTGACGGATTAAAGGGCCGTGTTGTCGAAGTGTGTTTAGCTGATTTACAAGGTTCTGAAGACCACTCTTCCAGAAAGGTCAAGTTGAGAGTTGATGAAGTCCAAGGTAAGAACTTGTTGACCAACTTCCACGGTATTGACTTCACCACTGACAAATTGAGATCTTTGGTTAGAAAATGGCAATCATTAGTCGAAGCTAACGTCACCGTTAAGACTTCCGATGATTACGTCTTGAGAGTTTTTGCTATTGCTTTCACCAAGAGACAAGCCAACCAAATCAGAAAGACCACTTACGCCCAATCCTCTAAGTTGAGAGAAGTTAGAAAGAAGATGATTGAAATCATGCAAAGAGAAGTTTCCAACTGTACCTTAGCTCAATTAACCTCCAAGTTGATTCCAGAAGTCATTGGCCGTGAAATTGAAAAATCTACCCAAACCATCTTACCATTACAAAACATTCACATTAGAAAGGTTAAATTATTGAAACAACCAAAATTCGATTTAGGTTCCTTATTAGCCTTACACGGTGAAGGTTCTACTGAAGAAAAGGGCAAAAAAGTCTCCGCTGGTTTCAAGGATGTTGTCTTAGAAACTGTTTAAATTGAATTGTGAATCGTAGTCTACTTTTCTATTAAATAAAGGTTTTAAGTATTTCATTTAATAACATTACATTTCGTTATGTCGATTGTAGTAAATGTGTCCTTGAAGGGTGGCCGTGTAGTTCTGTCTTGTAGTGCCTTGTTCTGCGTGCTCGTGTGCTGGCCATATATTTTCGCTTGCTACGAGCTCAGGCCTTGCTACATCGCATGGTGCATTTTGCAGCTGTTATCTTTCCACAAGATAACAGTTATTCTCCTTCGTATCCCTATAGATCTCTCTTCTTTTCGTGACTTACTCTGCAGTCAAAACTCTGTCATTAAACTCTGCCATTCAATTCTTCCAAGGGTCTCTCCTACCCTCTGATAACTCTTCCATCTTACTATGTATGTACCATCGTTTCCCAAATGGTCTAAGATAACAATACTTTATTAAACTCCTTTCCTATGGTCCCCGTATTGCTGTACTCTTCCATTAATCATGATTCTATATCTACGATTTAACATACCAATCTACAAAAATGATCACTAATTCTTGTGGATATGGCAAAAATGAGAAATTATTGCAAAATATTCTGCTTAATGTTTACACCCTAAAATGAATCACTTCCACACAATCACCATACCAATACCACATCCTCTTCACTCAAAAGAACCATCCCTAGCATCATATACATGCTTATATATAATAGTCAAAAGGACAATATTTCAGAAGACAATTACTTGATTGTACACGTGAGAGAGGCTTTTAAAAAAAAAATCGCAATCAAACGCAACGAAGAATTGCATTGTTTGTTCCTGAATTTTGAATTTGCTCCAGCTATTATACGGTCTACACCAGAAAAAACAAGTGAAATTAAAGAGTAATTAATTAATTCTATTCAATTGATTAGTTTGTTATTATCTTTAGTGGAAATATAATATATCAACACTATGGGGATAGTAAGTAGCATTATCGTGGGGCAATTGATGAGTTTGGAAAATACCTATGTGATATCGGGATGCGTTTACTAAACGAAGAAATGAAGATTAATTGATTTTTCCAAGGATTCTAATTGATTTCGAATAAAGCAAAGAATACTAACGTGTATAGCAAAAATCGCCGCAAGATGTCGATCCTCGTCGTCCGAATAAGGAAGATATTGACGAACGCAATAGAAGAGTGAATGCTGATTTGAATGTAAGAAGTGCCCCGTTAGACGGGTCTGACAATTCTGGGATTAAGAAGCCTCCGCCACCAGAAAAAGTTAGTATTCGGGATCAAACTACGTTTTCATGGGAAAATGTTGGTCCTTGGGAAACCAGATCGATCGAGGACAAGTCAAAGTCCTTGAAGGTTATGAAGTCGATTGAGAACTATGTCATAGATCATTTTTACGGTGATTGGTACTGGAATTGTTCCTTAATCATCGGTACATGCTTTTTCTGCTGGTTGATAGCCAGACTTGGAGGAGGTATCTTGTCATTAGGGTTCATTTTGTTGTTTACCAATTCTGTCTACAGAGCCGAATTTAGAAGATTCAATAGAGATTTAAGAGATGACATGTCCAGGATTACTGCTAGTAATAGGCTAGAAAACGAATTGGAAACCATGGAATGGTTAAATTCGTTTATGGATAAGTTTTGGGTTATTTATATGCCAGCATTATCAGAACAAGTTATGTTCCAAGCTAACGAAGTCTTGAAAGATCAAGCACCAGGATTTGGTATTGAAGCCTTGTCATTGGATGAGTTCACTCTTGGTTCTAAAGCACCAAAAGTTGATAGTATCAAGTCTTATACGAGAAAGGGCCATGATCATATTGAAATGGACTGGGCATTTTCCTTTGCACCAAATGATACGGATGATATGACTAAGAATGAAATTAAAAGAAAGATTAACCCAAAGGTTGCCTTAGGTGTCAGAGTGGGTAAAGCTTTTATTAGTAAATCGTTACCAATTTTAGTTGAAGACATGTCGTTTAAAGGACGCATGAATATTAAATTAAAGTTGAATCATAACTTTCCACACGTTAAAATGGTTTCTGTTCAGTTTTTGGAAGCACCTGCTATTGATTATGTTTTGAAACCCGTTGGTGGTGATACTTTTGGGCTTGACATTATGTCTCTTATCCCTGGTTTAGCCTCTTTTGTTAACGGTTTAATTCATGCCAATTTGAGACCTATGTTATATGCTCCTAATTCTTTGGATATTGATGTTGAAGAATTATTGGCCCAGCTGTCTTTGGGTGCAATTGGTTGTCTTGCCATTACTGTTAAGCGTTGTATTAACTTGAAGCCAACTGAAAAATCTAAGAAGCTTCATCCTTATGTACAGATGACAATTGAATGTAACGCTGATATCGACGAGAGAACAAAGGTTAAGAAACTGATTTCATCTCCGGTATTCATGGAAACCAAATATATATTATTGAATCAATTAGAGTCAAATTTCTTGAACTTTAATGTTTACAATTTAATTGAGAATGAACAAGATGATAAATTAATTGGTAATGTTCAGATTCCGTTAGCTGACTTATTACAAAAGGAGACGTTTAATGATGTTACAAAGAATATCCTGGAAGGTGGTAAAGTTGTTGGTAAAATTGAATATGACCTTAAGTACTTCCCAATCTTAGAACCAATGGTTTTGGAAGATGGTAGTAAGAAAGAGATTACCGAGTCAGAGGTTGGTATTATGAAATTGACTTTACATGAGGCTAAGGATTTGGATATCGGTCAGTCAGTTGTTGGTATTTTAAATCCATATGCTGAAATTTACGTGAATCACGAATTGGTTAAGAGTTGCCGTCGACTTAGACAGAATAACCAACCATCATGGGATCAAACAATTGAATCTTTGATTACTCAACAATCTGAAACTACTGTTACCATTCTTATCAAAGATTCTGTTGAAGATGCTGTTGTTGGTCAGTTGGAAGCAAACTTACAAGACTTGGTATTTGAGAGCGCTAGAGGTCAAGAATGGATTCAATGTGCCCCTGTTAGACCTGGTGCACCTCCAGCTAAGGTTAGAATTGGTGCTACCTGGAAGGCTTTAGGTATGACCGATGAAAATGTTGATACTCATTTCAATGCTTCTATCGGTGGTCTCAGAATTCACTTGCGTTCTGCAACAGGTCTTAAGAATTTGGAAGCTGTTGGTAAAGTTGATCCTTATGTTAGAGTTATGATGAATGGTAATATAAGAGGCAAGACTCTTACTATTGCTGATACATTAGATCCCGCGTTTAACCATGTATGTTTTGTTCCAGTCGCCAATGATCATCAACATATCTTATTAGAAGTTATGGATGAAGAAGCAGATCAGAATGATAGAAGCTTAGGTACTTGTGCAGTTCATGTAAACGAATTTTTAAAGAAGAACGACGAGGGGTATTATTTGGGATACGATGGGTCAAACGAAATTATTGAACAGCCTGTTTTACTAAATGGCCAACATCAAGGTTTCATGTCTTATTCTATCTCCTTTGTTCCAACTATTCCGGTTTACACACTCTCTCAGATGAATAACAAGGACAAATACTTAGAACACTTGAAGAAGAAGGAAGCTGACGAAGCTGAACAAAGAAGAAAGGATGAACAGAAGTTCAAAGAACATCCAGATGAATACCAATGGGTTGACATTGAAGATGATGAGTTGCCAGAAGTTGAAAGAATTCACATGCCACTAGAAAGAGCTATTAAGTATAGAACGGGTAATATCAATGTCTATATTGAAGGAGGCAAATTCAGCAAACCAGATTTTTTTGTTCATACTCTATTTGATGATCATGCTTACCCGTCAGCTGTTACAGCTAGAACTGAAGGTAGGAAATTGGATGTTAGATCTAAATGTGAAGCATTTATTAGAGATTTGCCAAATTCCAAGCTCATTTTTAGACTTGCTAAAAAATTTGAAGTCGATAAGGAAAAGGATATTGTTCATGAAAAGACTTTCGATACCCTTGAGATTTTAAAGAGATCGTATGACAACCCAATTGACTTAAAAATCAACGAAAAGAATATTATCAGAGTGCAGTTAGAATATATTCCATCAGCGGTCAAGTTAGCTCCATTTGATACTATCTTAGATGTTGGTAAATTTAAGTTGGATATCTTGAGTGCCGAAGGCTTAAAATCAGTTGATTCTAATGGTAAGTCTGATCCATTCCTTAGTGTTAAGCTTGATGGTGTTGAGATTTATAAGACTGATAAGAAGAGAAAGACATTAGATCCTGTTTGGAACGAAACGGTTGACATCCCATTAATGTCGAGGTCTAGACAAATAGTGTTATTGGAAGCTTATGACTGGGATTTAACACATAAGCCTGATTTATTAGGTAGAATCAACTTGGACATGTCTACGATAGAACCATTGAGATCTACACAATTCACTGTCAACTTTGATACTCAAGGTATTTTAAACTTGAGAGGAACATTCAGACCAGAATATCTCAGACCAACTCTCGATTCAGAAAGTGGATTGCCACTTGATTTAAGTTCCGTTGCTAATGTACCATTGAAAGCCGTTGGCGGTGGAGTTGGCATGGCTGCTGATGGTGTTGGAATGGCAGCCAACGGTGTTGGTGGAGTTGGTAAGGGTCTCGGTAAGGGCGTAGGTAAGGGTGGATCCTTTATCAAGGGATTCGGTAGACTGAAGAAGAAGCAATCAATGGATGAAGAAGGTGGTGCGCAAGCTAACAACGACTTAGATGAAACCGCCTCTCATATGAGTGGAAGAACAGGACAAACCGGTGTAACTGGTAGAAGTGGAACAGGCCAAAGTCAATCCCAAGAGAGCGAAGAAGGCGCCGATCGTGAAGGCGAAGAAGGCGAAGAAGGCGAAGGGCGTGAAGAAGGAGAAGGCGAAGAAGAAGAGGAAGAAGGAGCAGCACGCCCAGGAGAGACGGGTGATCCTAAGAAAGATGAAAAGGCTGATAAAATGGCAGAGAACATCAAAGTGGATAAGCCAGCTGGCGAAGTTCATGCAGCTCCTAACATCCATGCCGACATGCTCCCACCATTACAAAAACCTAATTTTGGTTTTGTAACAGGCTTAAACAATGACTCGGATACAAGCAGTGTTGTCAACAGTATGAATGCTCCCGATACCTTACCTGGTAGAATTGCCATTGTAAGCGCCCACGGCTTTTCGAGTCCTGTACTCGAGGTCAAGACTATATTAAAGACTGCCACCAAGGACAGAACTTTATTCAGGACCCGCGGTGCTAAGTTGCACGAAGACGGATACAGATGGAGCGAATCAATTCCTTTCAGATCTGCATCGTCCAACGAGTTGATTTTCCTCGTGAGGGAATCACACAAATTCGGAAAGAAGGTTGAGTTGGCTCTGGCAAGACTTCCATTGGTAGAGGCCTTGAACAAGACCGAGGATTTCACTTTCCAAACTGGCCAGGGTACCTTGGTTGTCAACGTCACCTATCTTGACACTGGTATTTAGACGACCAAACGTGCTTGCTATTTATTTTTCTTTTCTGTTTTATATGTTATTATTTTACCATTCAATGCCTTATTGTATTATTTACGCTTTAGTTAATATGACATTTTTATATAACTATAGACTGTAACCGGTGTATCAACAAACTTTCATCGAAGAACCGACCGACCGACCGGCACTTTTTGTACCCACTAATGCCACTATCAACCTTATATTAGGTCTTGCATTACAACCAAGTTATGCTTCACATTAACCTTATACCTTATGCGGAACGACTATCGCTTTGCAGCCATCCTCCCCGCCTCCACAAGTATCCCCCAAACCCATCCACCAACATCAGGTGCGTTGTGACTGCTTTTCCTCAAGTCACATGGTACATACAACACCAGTTGCCAGAACACTGGTATAAACACGCACTCACCCAATGGGTGGGCAATTTGGTAGGGCTGATTTATAAGCATCCGCGAAAAACTTATGTAATAGAAGCCTGCGAAAGTTTGTGAGCGAAAAAAGTTGTTTTGTGTCATCTTGTTCGAGGTTGGCTCATAGTGCTACCAGTGTGAAAAATAGCTATTCAGAAAAAACACCTAAAATTTTAAAGTACTATTGATTTATAATTATCACCAAAACTAGATCAAAATGAGCCAAATTGTATGTTATAAGTGATTTAAAGGATACAAGATGCAGTGTATGGATGAAACATGAATGTATATGGGTCTGGGCAAGTGGGATGTTCGAATATCGATGGCCGAAAAATTTTTCAATGATGGAAAAATAGTCAGACGAGACGTCTATCGACGAAGATATGCCAGACAGTGTGATGTGGGAGGAATGAGACCACATAGACGAAGTAGGACACCCACCAACGGAATAACAGAGAAAATATGACCAAAAGTTGAAAATGGTTCATAATCGTAGAACCGGGACATAAGTGGTGGTAGGACAACACCAGTACTACCAGACCCATAAATATGTCATGAAGACCATACACTCAAATGTGCCGAAAATATGGACATTTTACTAACAAATTATAGGCTCCAAAGTGGTACCAATCTGAAGACGCTCCAGTCGCAAGACAAACCAGAAAGACTTCTCGTCCACAAAAGTTACGTGCCTCGTTAGTTCCAGGTACCGTCTTGATTTTGTTGGCCGGTAGATTCAGAGGTAAGAGAGTTGTTTACTTAAAGAACTTAGAAGACAACACCTTATTGGTTTCCGGTCCATTCAAGGTCAACGGTGTTCCATTAAGAAGAGTTAACTCTCGTTACGTCATTGCCACCTCCACCAAGGTTAACGTTGAAGGTGTTGATGTTTCCAAGTTCAACGTTGAATACTTTGCTAGAGAAAAGGTTCCAAGATCCAAGAAGTCTGAAGCTGAATTCTTCAACGAAGCTCAACCAAAGAAAGAAATCAAGGCTGAAAGAGTTGCTGACCAAAAGTCTGTCGATGCCTCTTTATTATCTGAAATCAAGAAAACTCCATTATTAAAGCAATACTTATCTGCTTCTTTCTCCTTAAAGAGCGGTGACAAACCACATTTATTAAAGTTCTAAATTGAATTTTAATTACTTTTAATATCAATTGTTATAGTTATGAAGTTATAGTGGTGTAAATTTTTCTATTTGTATATTTAATACAGTTTTTGAACGTTAATTGCCATATTGTAGTAGCCATGTTAGACGTTATTCACTAGCACTAGTACTTAAGGCCCATCGCACGTGCAGTACTGATTGAAAAAAAATTTCTATACCTCATCTCGTTTTATTTATATAAGGGTAGCCTACCTTACATTATATACTAATACATACACTAGTTATAACTTCTTAATAGAATAATAATGTCTAGTTTAATCCCAATTTCCACCTATAACTTAGCTCTTCAACCATTCAACCCGGTTCAAGCTATTGATGATGAATATCCAGTCACCATCAGATTAACTTTAGCTGCTGTTGACCCAGAAGCTGTTGATGATAAAGCAGAACCATCCACCTTAAGGTTATTAAAGAGATCTAACTTATTCGTTGACGACGAAGATCTTGATGATGACTTATTAGACATCGAAGCTGAAGAAGCTGACGAATTAGATTCCGAAGAAGATGAAGAAGAAGTCAAGCCAAAGAACAAGAAGAAGCAAAACAAGAAGAAGGTCGAAGAAGAAGAAGAAGATGAGGAAGAAGAAGACCTTGACATTGACGGGTCCTCTGATGAAGAAGACGACGAAGATGTTTCCGAATTTGTCGTTTGTACTTTATCTCCAAAGGTTCAATTCCAACAAACCATTGACCTTACAATCACCCCAGATGAAGAAGTCTACTTTGTTGTCACTGGCTCTTACCCTGTCCATTTGACCGGTAACTATGTTGAGCACCCAGCTGATGAAGATTCCGAAGACGAATACGACGAAGACAGCGAAGACGACTACAACTTGACTCCAGATGAAGATGAAATCATTGGTGGTGAAGAATACGACTTAGATGACTTGGAAGATGCTTCCGATATCGAAAACAAAATCGAAGAATTAGTCGAAGAAGAAGCCCAAGGCTCCAAGAAGAGAAACGCCGAAGAACCTGAAGCTCCAACTTCTAAAAAGTCAAAGAAGGCCAAGAAGGAAGACAAAAAGTCTGTTCAATTCACCAAGGACTTAGAACAAGGCCCAACTGGCTCTACTTTAGTTGAAGAAAAGACTGAAAAGAAGGGAAAGAAGGAAAAGGCTAAGAAGGAAGAACCAAAGAAGGAACAACCAAAAAAGGAAGAACCAAAGAAGGAAGAAGCCGCTAAGAAGTTCCCAACCAAGACCTTATTAGGTGGTGTTATCACCGAAGACAGAAAAACCGGTAAGGGTCAAACTGCCAAATCCGGTAACAAAGTTGGTATCAGATACATTGGTAAATTGAAAAATGGTAAGGTTTTCGATAAGAACACCTCTGGTAAGCCATTCGTGTTTGGATTAGGAAAAGGCGAATGTATCAAAGGTTTCGATTTAGGTGTCGCTGGTATGGCTGTTGGTGGTGAAAGAAGAGTTGTTATTCCACCAAAGATGGGTTACGGAAGTCAAGCTTTACCAGGTCTTCCTGCTAATTCTGAATTAACTTTCGATATCAAGTTAGTCTCTATCAAATAGATCTACAAGGTACATTAATTTAGCTTCTTTACTGTCATTTATATATATAATTCTGTTTAATATACTAAAAAGCTCATCGACTTTATTAATGTCGTCGTTCCTGATGGAACGCGTTCTTTGTAAAAAAAAAAACTGTCGTATAAAATTTTAGACGCTCTCGCTGAGTAAATTTTAGATATAAACGTAGCTTTTACTAATAAACTTAAAGGCATTGAAGACGGTATGTTCTAATACAATGGTAATTGAAGAAAATGAGAGGAAGTTTATATTGCCCTTTTTCAAACCAAAAAATATTTCAAAAAGCTTCTAAAGATGGCAATACTAACGATTTTTTAGCAATTTTCAATAAGAGATGCCAAAGTTAATAAGTAACACAACGAGCGCTTTAGCGAGTATATCGGCGCATCGTCCGATTCACATCATTATTGTGACAGCGTTATTAGCGTCAATAGCTTATCTTTCAGTGGTTAATGAGTATGTTCCAGAAAACTTCGAGTTTGACTACTCGATAAGTTACTATCACCCGCCAGGGACTTCAGACTACAAAAACTGGATGCAAATTGATGATCCAAATGGGTATCCTAAGGCTGAAAGGTTTTCTGTTGCACCATTGAGATTTAAACGAGTACACAATCAACAAATTCCTCTGATTAAAAGCACCTTCAGTGGCAGTAACAACAACGAGCGTATTTTAGTTACAAAGACGGACGAATTAGAAAGTACATTAAACTCGATGGACAAAATTACTTATAATGGTATGACCTGGAAGGCTAGACATGCTAACAGAATCACCAGGTATTATGAATACCTTCGTGGTGGCCTTCTTAAGATTAAATCGGCGATCCAAGGTGCCGAAAAATTCGATGTTGGGTTAATTGCAGTGGCTTACATAGCTATGTGGTATACTTTGATTAAGGTTTTTTACGATATGAAGCAAGTTGGTTCCAACTTCTGGTTGGCGTTTTCTACTATTACTTCTTCTACTTTTGCATTCCTTTTCGCCTTAGTCACAACCACTAAAGTCTTGGATACTAAAGTTCCTTTATTAAGTATCACTGAGGGTATTCCTTTCTTAGTGGCAATTATCGGTTTCAAGCATAAGGTTTCAATTGCAACTTTAGTTCTGAAAGCCTCGACATCTCCAGAGGATGTTAGAACTATCGTTTCTAGTGCAATTTCGTCTCATACGGTTAGTTTATTGAGAGACCATATTGTTGTTATTGGGGCGTTGCTTACTTGTGCAATGTATGCTCCACATTTGGAAGGATTAAAGAACTTCTGTATTTTAAGTTCAATTATCTTAGCCTTTGATTTATTGCTAGTTTATACATTCTTTTCTGCTATTTTGGCATTGAAAGTTGAAATCAACAGAGCACGCCGTACCGAGTACTTGAAAAATGCTTTGGAAGAAGATGGAATTTCCTCAATAATTGCTCAAAATGTTGCAGCTCAATCTTCCAGTATTGAACATCCTAACGAAGCATCAATCTTCAGCTCGCAAGAAACTTCTATTGTTTCTTTCAAAGTTGCTATGATTGCTGGGTTCTTTGGATTTCATGCCTTTTGGTTGAGTAGTTCTTGGTTGTACAACGCAACGGGTGGTGATTCTATTAGTATTTTCTCGAATGCCAGAAACTTATCTAAGACTACTGCCAAACATATATCAATTGGTCAACATGGTACTGTGGTAACATTATTGACCCCTACTGTTTACATGCCATTAGGATTATTAGTCCAATCTGAAGATTTCATCTTATTATGTTTAGAACATATCAGTCATGCTATTAGAGATAGTCTCATTTCAAAATGTTTATTGTTCGGGTTTGCGATTTCAATTTCAACAAATGCATACTTCTTGAATGCATCTCGTTATCAAGTTTCGGCAACAAACAAGTTAATTGAGAAGGAAATATCTAGACCGAAATCGGGAGGAGATAGAAGAAGAAGTTCTGTTGTTGCTTCACCAAAGGCTTTACTGGGCTCAGGTATTGAAAATAACAAAATTACAGCTGTTGGTTTGGATGAATCCGATTCCTCAAGCGACGAAGACTTGGAGATTTCTGCTCCTTCCAAGAATTTACCTTTAGATGAATGCGTTGCGGTGATGAAAGAGGGTAATGTTAAGGAATTGAATAACAATGAGATTTCATCTTTAGTTGCTGCTGGTAAATTGCCATTATATGCCTTGGAAAAACAATTAGCGGATAATACTAGAGCCGTACTTGTTCGTCGTAAAGCTATTGCAAAATTAGCTAATGCTCCTGTTTTAGATACGAAGCGTTTACCTTACGCTCATTATGATTATGATAGAGTTTTTGGTGCATGTTGTGAGAATGTTATCGGTTATATGCCATTACCAGTTGGAGTTGCAGGTCCATTAATTATTGATGGTAAACCATACCATATACCAATGGCTACTACTGAAGGTTGTTTAGTTGCATCTACTATGCGTGGTTGTAAAGCCATAAATGCTGGTGGTGGGGTTGAATCTGTTTTGACTCAAGATGGTATGACAAGAGGTCCGTGTGTTTCTTTTCCTTCATTGTCTAGAGCTGGTGCTTGTAAGTTATGGTTAGACTCTGAAGAAGGTCAAAAAACTATTAAGAAGGCTTTTAATTCTACCTCAAGATTTGCTCGTTTGCAACATATTCAAACTGCATTAGCGGGCACTTTACTTTTCATTCGTTTTAGAACCACTACTGGTGATGCTATGGGTATGAATATGATCTCAAAAGGTGTGGAATATTCTCTTAAATACATGTCAGAAGAATGTGACTGGAGTGATATGGAAGTGATATCTGTTTCAGGTAATTACTGTACCGATAAAAAACCGGCTGCTATCAATTGGATTGAAGGTAGAGGTAAGTCTGTTGTTGCAGAGGCTAGAATTCCAGCATCTGTTGTTCAGAAAGTTCTTAAATCAGATGTTGACGCGTTAGTTGAATTGAATATTAGTAAGAATTTAGTTGGTTCAGCTATGGCTGGTTCAGTCGGTGGTTTCAATGCCCATGCAGCAAATTTGGTTACTGCAGTCTTCTTAGCTTGTGGACAAGATCCAGCTCAAAACGTTGAGTCCTCGAACTGTATTACATTGATGAAAAACGTGGGTGGTGATTTACAAATCTCCGTTTCTATGCCTTGTATTGAAGTTGGTACAATTGGAGGTGGTACTATTTTGGAACCTCAAGGTGCCATGTTAGATTTATTAGGCGTGCGTGGACCTCATCCTACTAATCCAGGTGATAATGCTAGGCAATTAGCACGTATCGTTGCGTCTGCAGTTTTAGCTGCCGAACTTTCGCTTTGTTCTGCCTTAGCTGCTGGTCATTTAGTTCAATCTCATATGCAACATAACCGTAAAGGTGCTGCTCCTCCAGCAAACGGAAATGTACCAAACGGGAAAGCTCCTGAAATTACCGATACTAAAAATACTGCGGAATTGAGTCGTCTTAAAGAAGGATCAGTTAATTGTATTCGTTCTTGATGAGTATTTACTAATGTACTAATGGCTTTAAACAGAAAAAATTTACTATAATTCATAATTTTGTGCCAACAAATTAAATTATGCTTTGTCAAGCAACAACCTTCTTTGTAAAATTCTCTGCATTATTAATAGATAAAATTTAATACATACTATAATCGTTATCTAGTTCCCCAAAGCGAGTGAGTCAACAATACTAATTTCCGCGAAATAAAGATTCTCATCAAATATCTTCATTTCTATACATATAATATATATACCCCATTATAAAATATGAGTAACGACGGTCCATCTCAAGAAATTGGAGCCCCTATTCCAAGTAATACACCTCATGCAGTTTCTGTAACCCTACCAACATGGGAGGCTACAGTAGGTTATGAGGAGGGTGAAGACTGGGTTGTGAATAAAATGAATTCTGGGTATCCAAGATTTTTCATACATTCAGTTATACAAGATTTGGCGAACAATATCGAAGCGAAATATGGTAGAGAAGGTGAAAGATGTATGGTGTTTCCTTCCTATAATGTTGCTAAAAGATGTAGAGAATTCGTTAAAGCAAAAAGTGATAAATCCAATTTATCAGTTAGAATCTTGCAATTAAGTACAGCTCCACCAGAAGACGAATTGGAAAAATCTCTGGTTATCGAATCAAATATAGGTGTTATTTTTTTCCCTTCCAGTGAATTTCCATTGGCGAAGAATTATTGGCAACATTCGGGTGAAGGTATTAGTTCGAGAATGGCTGAATATGTATTGAAAGAAATATTTCACAAGGAAAAGAAGCCTAGTACGTATAAAGGAAGTCATATGAAACAAGAATTACAAGCACAAAAAATCCAGCAAAGATCACCTTCTCTTTCTAAATCTTTGCAATCGCCTAGTTTTTCTTCAAACGAAGAAACAGAGAAGGAATTTAATACGTTCATTGAACAAAAGTACGGTAGGGTTTTAGACTTGAAATTTGCAGAGCAGGCCAAAGTAGCATTGAGGAGAAGAATCTGTGGTAAGATCGATAAGTCCCATAGTCAAGAAGACGAAATGCAAAAAGCTAGACGTGGTAAACATTTAAGTGAGACCGATGTCTATTTGTATCCATCAGGAATGGCAGCTATTTTCAATGCTCACCACGCTTTATTACAAGTAGCGGAAACGCAAAACAAGTCGGTTTGTTTTGGATTCCCATATGTCGATACTTTAAACATCTTAAAGAAGTTTGGTCCTGGTGTTCATTTCTTTGGTTTTGGCGATGATAAATCGTTGGAAGATATGGAATCACAATTGAAAAGTGGTGAAATAAAAATTACCGCTTTGTTTTGTGAATGTCCATCTAATCCATTATTGAAGACGCCAAATTTAAAAAAGATTAGAGAGTTGGCTGACGAATATAATTTTGCAGTAGTGATAGATGAAACTGTTGGTAATTTTGTCAATATCCACGTTTTACCGTATGCTGATATTGTTGCTTCTTCTTTAACAAAAGTATTTTCTGGTGATTCTAATGTTATGGCAGGATCGTTGATCTTGAATCCCGAGTCTAAAATGTATCCTAAATTGAAGACGTATTTTGACGATGAGTATGAAGACTTATTCTGGGCTGAAGATGCCTTATATTTAGAAAGAAACTCTCGTGATTTTGCTGAACGATCAGCTAAAATTAATGAAACTGCTTTGGCAGCGGTCGATTTATTACAACAAAATCCTTTGATTTCAAAGGTGTATTATCCATCGATTTCTGATACTAAGGATCACTATGATGCGATTAAGACACCCAATGGTGGATATGGTGGATTGATATCTTTCATCTTTAAAGAACCAGAAGATGCGATATGTTTTTTTAATGCCGTTAATTTACATAAGGGTCCATCCTTGGGAACTAATTTCACGTTAGCTTGTCCATATGCTATTTTAGCACACTATCAAGAGTTAGACGAGATAGCAAAGTGGGATATCGATAGAAATTTGATCAGAATTAGTATTGGTTTAGAGCTGGAGTCTGATTTACTCGGTGTTTTAAACAAGAGTTTAGAACAAGCAGCAGCCCAACATTAGGTTCAAAAAAGTTCATTATTCATATAGATAGTAATACATAGATATCTATTCAATGCTTATGTACAATGCAATAGTACAACACTAATGATTATAGTAGGTCGGAAACTTCACATGTTCACATGGAGCGGGAGGCTCGCCTGTTAGTTCTTCATGTTGAACTAAACCCACATACCAATATTTTGAACTAGATTCAAAAAATGTCTGCCAACTCTCAATATCATGCATTGCCTCATTTGGATCTAATCCTCTGAGATCATAAGTGAATTCATCTTCCTTACTGAAACATCCCGTAACAAATGCACGGGCTGCATCTTTTCCACTGAAAAATCCGTAAGTTCCCTTAGGACCATATACACCTCTCGAGCGACTAACATCAAAAACTTTCCCATTGATACCTATATAAACAGGCAACTTAGGATCTGATCCATTATATAAGGAAAGTTCGTCAATCGTTAAATTGACATAATTGTTAGTTACTCTTAACTTCAAATACCCTGGATCAACCCATTTTCCTTTATAGCCCCAAGTTGACGTGGAGGTAAACCACCACGATAAAAATGCATTTAGGAAGATTAAACCACCAATGATTTGAAGAATGTCAATAATGCCAAATCTGACACTATCCTCTTGCTGAGATTTCAGCTCCTTTATCGACTTCTTCATCACTTCGTCGTAAAAGTAAATATTCACATTTAAAATCGTTTTGATTCTTTCGATATCAACGCGATCTGGTCTACGAAGAATGTATGGTGAGTAAAATATATTACAATTATATAAATATATACGTGTGTTTTTACGTATGACTTAAGGCATGAAAAATACCTCATCATAGAGAGGAGCAACGTTGTTTGAATAATTTCCAAGATTAAATTTATCTGAATCTGTATTAATCAAGTCAGACCAAAATTCATCGTAAAAATTCTCCAATTGATCCAGATTTACCATCCCAGATGATGTATTGTTAATATTTGTGTCATTAGAAGTAGTATTATCAATATCCATATTATTAGTTGCCTGATTGAATCCAGGGTTATTTCGTATTGAATTGTCATTAAGAAGAGAGCCCAAATTATTCACAGCATGAGGGACTGGGTTAGCATTTATATGCTGATTGTATTCAGCGTTCACATTGTTCATTCTACCACTTGGGTTCAAATCACTAGAGCTATATGTATGTGGGATCGGATTAGATATCGACTGTTCTTGAGCTTGTGATGGTACAGACTGGCTAAGACGATGATCTGGAATATCCTGTCCACTAGGAAATCCTTTTCTAAATGATGCTGCGTATGATAAGATATCCAATGGAACCTGTGATTGATAAGCATCATTAGACTCTGCATTAAGAATATGGCCTGAACCATTCCTCTTGAATATTTTACTCAACCTTTCAATATCAGTCTTAGAATTTTGTGCTTTATCTGTTTGTTTTCTATATAAGTCCTGAATTTGACTTGCATATGCTTGAATGAAAAGTTGTAGTACAAGCCTAGTTTTCTTTAATATATGATTCACGGGATGCAAAGTGGATGATTGATCAAATAGATTCGTTAAAGTTTGAATAGTAAAAATTAGGCTTTGGGGAACTAAGTCATCTTGAAGTGAAGGCAATGATATAACCAAATATCTTAGTTTTAGTAATATACCAACGACGTATATGATTCTTGACGCGTAAAATAATGGAAGAGTAGCAACATCATCAGTACTCATCTTATTGAACTCATCTAAAGCCTTCAAACAAGATGTTGTGCAAAGGTTAATGTTCTTCACTGAATCAATTTGCAAGGCAAAATCTGATAAATCTTGTACGTCGCCAGGTATTATTTGACCAAATATAGGTTCGTAAAGATAAGCTTCAACAGTATAATAATAACCTAAGAAAGCATGCTCGTCTTTCGCAATTTTGGCTTTAATAATATTTAATTTATTTTGCACATCTCTAACAATGTATTTTGAAAATGATGGCTTTCTATCAGAAAAGTCTGCCAGATGAACAAGAATGTAAATCTTCTCTAACTGGTTACTTAACCTCAGAAATAACGCAATTTTGAAATCTCCCGCGTCTTGACTTTTCTCTAGAGCCGAACAACATTCTTCAACAAGCGGTGTCCACTTAACATATATCCGTCTGCGCAATGTTAAACAGATACAAACAGTAGAGAAATATAAAGTCATAATTAGACGCTGATAGTCGGACTTTGCATGGTACTCGTTGTTTACAATTATTGCCGTATTATCATCATCCTCAGAATCAGTCAGTGGACGTCCAACAATTCCAAGATCATGCAACAAAGAAACTGAAAGAGTGTTTAATAAATGATTACGACGATTTTTGAATAATTCAGGAGTATTATACCATAAGCATAGCAACAATAAAGTTTTAATTAATTCGACTGACTTCGAACCAGCTACTAACACTTCCAATACTATAGCTCGCATGGCTGCATTGTCTATTGATAACGCAATATTTTTATCAATTGGCTTAGTATAAACAGTATTTGTCACTGACATTATAGCAAGAAACAAATATGGCAGATTTGCAGATAATTCCTCGACAGTAGAATCAACAGGAAGATCCACAAGAGAATATGGTACATTTAACTTCGTCTTGTATAAATCTAAACGCTCTCTAGCTTCTTCTATTGTAATCAACCCTGTTTTGATAATATCAATAGACTCGACTTCCCGTAACAACGAATCTCTGCGGTTAGCCGTATCTTTCAAACTGTTAGTCAACAGACGCAACTTGGATGTACTGAAATCACGAAGGGCCGTCAATTCTTTCTCCAAGAAAGCAACTGGAGTTGGTGTCAGTGGAACCCCTGCTTCTTTGTTTATATCTGGTGTTTGTCCCAATTGTTGCTTTAACGAATTAACTTCATCCTGCAACTTCGTAATAGTTTCTTCCTGCATTGCACTCACCAAATTATTATTACTTTCCTGTATTTCAGCCTTCTTTCTTCTCTTTCTTGTTTGGTTGGGATCAATTTCACACTTTCTCTTCGAGTTGATGCATCGCTTGCATGGTCCGTTTGGGTTATTTTCATCAGCAGGCGTACATTTCACCTTTAAACTATGGCAACTCTTACATGCCCTAGCTGCTCTTCTTCCTTGCTTTTGTTTATTCCCGTTTCCTTTACCATTTCTGCCGTCTTGTGAATTGTTGGGGTTTGTTTTTGTCCCGCTGCTAGGCGAAGAACCTAATGATGAGACTGGAGATAAATCCTTATTATCCTCATATTGAGTCAGCTCTGCAAAATACGACATATTATGATATTAAATAGTTGCTCATACATATAATTAATTACCAGTATAACTTAGCTCTTTTACGATTTATAGTGTATTCTATAGTGGTAAGGCTGATCGGTCACAACGGATTGTTTTTTATCAAGTGAAAAATCACGTGTAGAATTTTGTCTACTATTAGCCTAGACGGACTAACAATAAAGATGCTACACTAGGAAGGTTGTCCATATTGTAATGTAGGACGGTTTAAATAGGAGAAATAGCTTTTTGTTTGAAAGGTTTCTAGGTGTTGTATGAACAAGTGTGGAACGGTCTCTTGGTCTCGTTGGTTCTTGTTCAACTTTCTATAATCGTGATCTTGTATTTGGTGTAATGCAAACAAGACAAGGACTAATGATGTTACTTTTCACCTGAAAAATACATATAGAGATTCAAAAGCTGTGTTACCTTTCCATTACTATTTACGCATGTAACCGACTATATTTTGTATGTTATCTAGTATGGTATTTTCTAAGCTATTTCGTGAATAATTAAAACCTGATCATTCTTCCATAGATTATCATATTAACACAACTATTTTACTGTTTCATACATTCCATTGTTAGTCTTCATTTGATTTACATGCTAACACTCTTCATGATGCTCGCATTCTAAGCACCACAAAAAATTTCCCTAGATGAAACTATGTGAAACAAGTATTTCTTTTATGCTAACTTTTGTTTGGTTTCCGATAAAGTGAACGAGTCCCCCCGATAGAAAATGGACGGATATAATTTGAAATATATTTAAATTAATCGAAATGAATGACGATACTTTTGCTAAGAATATCAGACGGTATATTTTAAGGGGTGGTGAGGATGCTGATATGGATGTTGATACTGATACAGATATGGCTATGGATGTTGATATTGATATCAATAATTTTGATATTACCAAATTCGACTATAGAACTATTTTCAACAAGAGTCAGAACGAGAACATCAACCATATAGAAATGATATTTAAATTTTTTGGAATTAAAACAAACTCTGAAGTGGATTCGATGCCTCAAAAGTTAAAGTGGTATTTTGACGATCATCCGAATGAATGGAAAGAATTATTCATATTCTTTTGTGTTATGCCATTTACCGAATATGAATTTCAGGGTGATGATGGAAATTTACTAAATCCT